TTACTTGGGGCCACAGAAACGTTAATCAGGGACACAGAATTGTTACTGAGGGCCACAGAACTGTTACTTAGGGCCACAGAATTGTTACTCGCACAGACACAGAATTGTTACTCGCACAGACACAGAATTGTTACTGAGGGCCACAGAACTGTTACTTAGGGCCACAGAATTGTTACTCGCACTCACAGACACAGAATTGTTACACAGGGACACAGAACTGTTACTGAGGGCCACAGAACCGTTACTTAGGGCCACAGAATTGTTACTCGCACAGACACAGAATTGTTACTCGCACAGACACAGAATTGTTACTCGCACAGACACAGAATTGTTACTCAGGGACACAGAACTGTTACTGAGGGCCACAGAACTGTTACTTAGGGCCACAGAATTGTTACTCGCACAGACACACAGAATTCTTACTCGCACAGACACAGAATTGTTACTCAGGGCACAGAACTGTTACTTAGGGCCACAGAACTGTTACTTAGGGCCACAGAATTGTTACTCGCACAGACACAGAATTGTTACTCGCACAGACACAGAATTGTTACTGAGGGCCACAGAACTGTTACTTGGGGCCACAGAAACGTTAATCAGGGACACAGAATTGTTACTGAGGGCCACAGAACTGTTACTGGGCCACAGAATTGTTACTCGCACAGACACAGAATTGTTACTCGCACAGACACAGAATTGTTACTGAGGGCCACAGAACTGTTACTTGGGGCCACAGAAACGTTAATCAGGGACACAGAATTGTTACTGAGGGCCACAGAACTGTTACTTAGGGCCACAGAATTGTTACTTAGGCACAGACACAGAATTGTTACTTCTCGCACAGGGACACAGAATTGTTACTGAGGGCCACAGAACTGTTACTTAGGGCCACAGAATTGTTAATCACTCGGACACAGAATTGTTTTACTGAGGGCCACAGAACTGTTATACTTAGGGCCACACAGAATTGTTACTCGCACAGACACAGAATTGTTACTCGCAGACACAGAATTGTTACTGAGGGCCACAGAAATTGTTACTTAGGGCCACAGAATTGTTACTCGGGACACAGAATTGTTACTAGGGCCACAGACACAGAATTGTTACTCGCAGGGACACAGAATTGTTACTCGCACAGACACAGAATTGTTACTCAGGGACACAGAACTGTTACTGAGGGCCACAGAACTGTTACTTAGGGCCACAGAATTGTTACTCGCACAGACACAGAATTGTTACTCGCAGGGCCACAGAATTGTTACTGAGGGCCACAGAACTGTTACTTGGGGCCACAGAAACGTTACATCAGGGACACAGAATTGTTACTGAGGGCTGAGGGCCACAGAATTGTTACTTAGGGCCACAGAATTGTTACTTGTTACTCGCACAGACACAGAATTGTTACTCAGGGACACAGAACTGTTACTGAGGGCCACAGAACCGTTACTTAGGGCCACAGAATTGTTACTCGCACAGACACAGAATTGTTACTGAGGGCACAGAACAGAAATTACTGAGGCACAGAACTGTTACAGGGCCACAGAATTGTTACTCGCACAGACACAGAATTGTTACTGAGGGCCACAGAACTGTTACTTGGGGCCACAGAAACGTTACTCAGGGACACAGAATTGTTACTGAGGGCCACAGAACTGTTACTAGGGCCACAGAATTGTTACTCGCACAGACACAGAATTGTTACTCGCACAGACACAGAATTGTTACTGAGGCCACAGAACTGTTACTTGGGGCCACAGAAACGTTAATCAGGGACACAGAATTGTTACTGAGGGCCACAGAACTGTTACTTAGGGCCACAGAATTGTTACTCGCACAGACACAGAATTGTTACTCAGGGACACAGAACTGTTACTGAGGGCCACAGAACTTTACTTAGGGCCACAGAATTGTTACTCGCACAGACACAGAATTGTTACTGAGGGCAGGGACACAGAATTGTTACTCGCACAGACACAGAATTGTTACTCGCAGGGCACAGAACTGTTTACTGAGGGCCACAGAACTGTTACTTACTTATCAGGCCACAGAATTGTTACTCGCACAGACACAGAATTGTTACTCAGGGCACAGACACAGAATTGTTACTGAGGGCCACACAGAACTGTGTTACTGAGGGCCACAGAACTGTTACTTAGGGCCACAGAATTGTTACTCAGGGACACAGAATTGTTACTGAGGGCCACAGAACCTGTTACTGAGGGCCACAGAATTGTTACTCCTGACACCCACAGACACAGAATTGTTACTCGCAGCCACAGAAATCGTTACTCAGTTACTTGGGGCCCTAGAATTGTACTGAATTGTTACTCGACACACAGAATTGTTACTGAGGGCCACAGAACTGTTACTTAGGGCCACAGAATTGTTACTCAGCTACAGACACAGAATTGTTACTGAGGGCCACAGAACTGTTACTTAGGGCCACAGAATTGTTACTTCCGCACAGACACAGAATTGTTACTCAGGGACACAGAATTGTTACTCAGGGACACATAATCGTTTTATAAAGAGTATGTCAGACAACATTTACTCAGAGGAGTGGGTGCAGAGGAGGCAATGAAACCTAGGAGCTCAGCAGACACAGCAGAGGACTTCAGGTCGAGGGCAGCACAGATTCGCAGGGCCAGAGGCCAGAAATTGTTGCTCCCGGTGTCATCCAGCACAACTCTGCCATGTCTCCACCACAACCCTGTTCATCGATTGGTTTTGCTCGGAACGTCTGGCTTGCCCATGGGGCCCCCATCTGACACCTTACTTTAGCCAACACAATCGGTGGGTACGTGCAGGGACACACAACCGTTAGTTGGCATGGCCCGGGACCAAGCCCACTGAAGATCACGTGTCCTCACACCTGCCCCCCTGTCCTTTGGTGTTCCCCTCACCAAGCGAAGTATCGCATGCTGTGGGCTCAGCCCCACTGTACAGTGAGGAAGAGCTAACAGAGGGCGGTCAGGAACGGGGGGAGACATCCGCCTTTTCAGCAGCCAGGCGAAGAAGTAGTGGCGAGGAGAGTGGCCCGGTAGCCGGTCTAGAGACAGGTCTGTCTCCTGACCCAGACGCAGCCGAGGGGGCTAGTAGCTGAGGGGACGGAGACCCTACTTGAATGATGAGGAGGTTGATCGCACTTGGCAGCCTCGTCGTCACTGCATGGCAGGCAATTTCTTCCGCATCATCAGGAGAAGAGGGTGGCAGCTTGGCAGCGAGCAAAACTGTCGGTGGGTTGCCCCAGGAGACAGCAGCAGCCAGGTCGCAGCAGTGTCAGTGGAGCAGAATGTCAGTGGAGCCAAAGGCCACGGAGTAGTCAGACCATCTCCACTGCAGCCTACCCACCACGGCCAGTAGTGGTGCCGGTGTTGCACGGAGGAAGCAGCAGTCAGCCAGTGATGAGTATCGGGTGGCAAAGTTTCCTACTCGGCGGTGTGCAATTTTTCGTCAAGCCGCCCGATAGCTGCTGCTTTCCAGTAGCCGTAAAGGGCGACTATGGGCCAGAAAGTCAGAGCGTGGCTCATGGGGCCATGCCACGACCATTGCTGCGTCTTCCCCATCTGCCATGTGCCACTTTCAGGTCTCCTCACACTGCTGGTGTGTTGAATTTTTTGACATAGGGTGCTGGCAGATTACGGGCCTCCTATAGCTGCTGCCAGGCCCCTAATCTGCCATAGGCCCCTATATACCCGCCTCCTCATGCTGCTGCCAGGTCCAGAGTCTCTCATGGGTCCCTGTACGGCCTCCCATTGCTGCTGTCTCCATCGCCACACTCTGCCATGTGCCACTTTCAGGTCTCCTCACACACTGCTGGTGTGTAGAATTTTTTTGACATAGGGTGCTGGCAGATTACGGGCCTCCCATAGCTGCTGCCAGGCCCCTAATCTGCCATAGGCCCCTATATACCGCCTCCTCATGCTGCTGCCAGGTCCAGAGTCTCTCATGGGTCCCTGTACGGCCTCCCATTGCTGCTGTCTCCATCGCCACACTCTGCCATGTGCCACTTTCAGGTCTCCTCACACACTGCTGGTGTGTAGAATTTTTTGACATAGGGTGCTGGCAGATTACGGGCCTCCCATAGCTGCTGCCAGGCCCCTAATCTGCCATAGGCCCCTATATACCGCCTCCTCATGCTGCTGCCAGGTCCAGAGTCTCTCATGGGTCCCTGTACGGCCTCCCATTGCTGCTGTCTCCATCGCCACACTCTGCCATGTGCCACTTTCAGGTCTCCTCACACACTGCTGGTGTGTAGAATTTTTTGACATAGGGTGCTGGCAGATTACGGGCCTCCCATAGCTGCTGCCAGGCCCCTAATCTGCCATGGGCCCCTATATACCGCCTCCTCATGCTGCTGCCAAGGTCCAGAGTCTCTCATGGGTCCCTGTAACGGGCCTCCCATTGCTGCTGTCTCCATCGCCACACTCTGCCATGTGCCACTTTCAGGTCTCCTCACACACTGCTGGTGTGTAGAATTTTTTGACATAGGGTGCTGGCAGATTACGGGCCTCCCATAGCTGCTGCCAGGCCCCTAATCTGCCATGGCCCCTATATACCGCCTCCTCATGCTGCTGCCAGGTCCAGAGTCTCTCATGGGTCCCTGTACGGCCTCCCATTGCTGCTGTCTCCATCGCCACACTCTGCCATGTGCCACTTTCAGGTCTCCTCACACACTGCTGGTGTGTAGAATTTTTTGACATAGGGTGCTGGCAGATTACGGGCCTCCCATAATAGCTGCTGCCAGGCCCCTAATCTGCCATGGGCCCCTATATACCGCCTCCTCATGCTGCTGCCAGGTCCAGAGTCTCTCATGGGTCCCTGTACGGCCTCCCCATTGCTGCTGTCTCCATCGCCACACTCTGCCATGTGCCACTTTCAGGTCTCCTCACACACTGCTGGTGTGTAGAATTTTTTGACATAGGGTGCTGGCAGATTACGGGCCTCCCATAGCTGCTGCCAGGCCCCTAATCTGCCATAGGCCCCTATATACCGCCTCCTCATGCTGCTGCCAGGTCCAGAGTCTCTCATGGGTCCCTGTACGGCCTCCCATTGCTGCTGTCTCCATCGCCACACTCTGCCATGTGCCACTTTCAGGTCTCCTCACACACTGCTGGTGTGTAGAATTTTTTTGACATAGGGTGCTGGCAGATTACGGGCCTCCCATATAGCTGCTGCCAGGCCCCTAATCTGCCATGGGCCCCTATATATACCGCCTCCTCATGCTGCTGCAGGTCCAGAGTCTCTCATGGGTCCCTGTACGGCCTCCCATTGCTGCTGTCTCCATCCCACACTCTGCCATGTGCCACTTTCAGGTCTCCTCACACTGCTGGTGTGTTGAATTTTTTTGACATAGGGTGCTGGCAGATTACGGGCCTCCCATAGCTGCTGCCAGGCCCCTAATCTGCCATAGGCCCCTATATACCGCCTCCTCATGCTGCTGCCAGGTCCAGAGTCTCTCATGGGTCCCTGTACGGCCTCCCATTGCTGCTGTCTCCATCGCCACACTCTGCCATGTGCCACTTACTGCTGGTGTGTAGAATTTTTTTGACATAGGGTGCTGGCAGATTACGGGCCTCCCATAGCTGCTGCCAGGCCCCTAATCTGCCATAGGCCCCTATATACCGCCTCCTCATGCTGCTGCCAGGACTGTCCAGAGTCTCTCATGGGTCCCATAGTACGGCCTCCCATTGCTGCTGTCTCCATCGCCACACTCTGCTGCCAGGTCCATGTGCCACTTTCAGGTCTCCTCACACACTGCTGGTGTGTTAGAATTTTTTGACATAGGGTGCTGGCAGATCACGGGCCTCCCTATAGCTGCTGCCAGGCCCCTAATCTGCCATGGGCCCCCTATATACCGCCTCCTCATGCTGCTGGCCA